ATCTTCTCCATTTTCATCCTTCCACTTACCTATTACTTTAGTATTTTTTAATACACGCTTACCTTCTTCAGTAATTATCCATTGATCTTCTGGAAGATTTTTTACTACCCAATGCTCTTCGGGATAATCACTAAAATCAAATAAATCACAATCATTTATCATGTCTTGATAAATATTTTCGGGCTCAATTTCTATGATTAATGAATCTGTATCAGTATATAGAAGTTTTACTTTATCCCTGTATTTCTTTTGAGATAACTATACCAAAGTCATACATATAATATTTAGAAAGATCGAGAATACATAATCCTACATATTCTGGCTTATTTAGTTTTACATTAGTCTGCCTTCAGTATACAGCTACTAAGTTCGTCTCATAGAAAATTTTCCTACTAACAAATGCAAGATCTGAAATTAGTCTTCGTAGTCTGTGTTCTTCATCTACCTGATAAACCAAATCTATATTCACTCGCTTTCTCACATCCTCCATAGTTTTTCCAAATACTGAATTATTTATCAATTTCCAGAAGTCTTTTTCAAAAGCATTTTTCGCTTTTGCTCGTCGTTGTATATTCATTGCTATATAGAGTTCCATCTAAGGAGATTGTTTGAAACCTAAAACTCTATATACTTTTTCTAGAACATACCCCTCTCTTATATACTGCTGTAGATTTCTATAATGAATAACATAATGGTCTTTATCTTGTAGAGTTAGTATAAGTTTTTCTGTATCGGGACGTTGTTTTTCTATCCATTCTTTTTGCTTTGATCCATACCAATCATATGGTACTTTCATTCATTCTGGACACATTGGATAGTCTTGAAATTTGGGATGCAATTCTTTTAGAATCGATAACTTTACTTCTAAACAACATCTTTGATTTGATTTTTCTTTTAGTAATAAAATTTTCTGTATTAATGGGGAAGTTGCTTTGAGGAGTTTTGTTGATAGCCATTTAAATCCTCTGGTTGGTAAATATTGACTCATTACCCAACCATATAGATTATTGGCATCTAGATACAAAAGCCACTTTTTCGATTTTTTTCTATCATACCCCTCTAATCCTAGAATATTTGCTCTAGCTATACGACGTCTAGCCAAAGACATTCTTCCCCTTTTCATTGCTGTAAAGAAATCATGTATATCTTCTTGGTGTTCGTGAAATAATTCTAGCTTAACTTTAGTTACCTTCATATATGCGTTCCATGCTAGACCTGGTGCGGTTAAATAATTTGCTGTGTCGAGCTTGAATGCTGAATATGAGGCTTTATGGAATACCTCAAATGCATCTGCTAAAATTAATACATCAGTTTTAAGATAGATATCGTGATAATCTCCAAAAGTTTTGCATTCTGTTTCTCGCCAGA